TTTTATATGCACATATACAAATACAAATACATATTTAAATACATAAGTACTCATAATACATAGCCGGAACACGATCTTCTGCCGTCGATTTCTGCTGCCCAATCAGCGTCACTAAATGCTGCCAAGTTGACATCATCAGTTTTTCGATAGCTTAGTTTGAAATCAATTGTGCCTTTTAAATATCGAAATATTCTTTTCACAGCTTGCCAATGCTCATTTGAGTGTTTTAAGTTAAACCGGCTTACATTATTTACTGCAAATGCTATATCCGGTCTAGTTCCTTGTGTTAAATATAAAAGGCTGCCCACAGCTTCTTGGTATGGTATTTTCCCCGTCAGATCATTTTTCTCAGTGATGCATTTTTCAGTCAATTTTTGACTTACTTCACATGGTGTGCCCACTGGCTTACAATCCTGCATACCAAAACGTTCAAGAATTTCATTTATATATGACGATTGATCTAGTGTAATTTCGTCGCAATTTTTGCTCTGCGTGATACGTATTCCAAGACAACTTTGAGCAGATCCCAAATCTTTCATTTTGAATTTTTTGTTAAGGTACTGCATTAGTTTTTCTAGGTTATTACTACCTTTGTAGAGTATAAGGAAATCATCGACGTATATTGCAATTATCAGATTCAATTCTTTATCATAGTAAATGCATGGATCAGTTTTACACCTTTGTAACCCGAATTCTTTTAATGCTGAATCGAGCTTTAAGTTCCACTGTCTTCCGGCTTGTTTCAGTCCGTAAACAGCTTTGTTTAGCTTACATACCTTGTTAGTGCCATCATTGTAACCTTCTGGTTGTTCCATGTATATTGTTTCTTTAAGATCACCTTGAAGAAACGCAGTCACTACATCCATTTGATGGATTTTATAGCCGTTTTTTACTGCTAAAGCCACTAAAAACCTTATTGATGTGTATCTAACCACCGGCGAGAATGTTTCATCATAATCGATGCCGTATTTTTGTGCACAGCCTTTTGCACCAAGTCGTGCTTTATATTTTACAGCTTTACCGACCTCATCTTGTTTTACTTTAAAGACCCATTTTGCTTTTATAGGCTTTCTTCCATCTGGTAGTTTCATCAACGACCAGGTGTTATTTGATCTATGTGATTCCATTTCTTCATTCATTGCATCTTCCCATTCTTTCGCTTTTTCACCGTTTATAGCTTCTGATACTGTTAATGGCTGTGAAAGAAATGCAAAAGCATTAAATTGAAAAGATGGTACAGATACCTTAGCTTTAGATCGTGTGACTCTTCTTTCTTCTTCAGATTCATCAATACTTTGTTCAGGAACATAATCTGGATCATTTTGGGTTTGATTCGGTGATTCTATCATGGTGTCATCTTCCGCAACACTTTGTACGTCTTCGTTCGATTCATCAGGTTTTATGCTAACTTCTTCAAATGTGTCTTCATCGCTTCTCTTTATTTCCCTCACTTCGTCGTTATAGATTTTTAAGGTCGACTTTGGTTGAGGTTTTTCGTAGAATATTACATCTCGACTTATAACCAGTTTCTTTGTTATTGGATCAATACAGCGAAAACCTTTAATGTCGTCATCATAGCCCACGAAAAACATTTTCTTGGATTTAGGATCCCATTTTTTACGTTTTTCTTTGTTTATGTGAACCATTGCTTCACAACCAAACAATTTCAGGTTAGATATGTCTATTTTTTTTTTATAGAATATTTCATCAGGAATTTTTCCATGCGACGAACAAATACTTTTGTTGATTAAGTAGGCTGCCATATTTGTTGCTTCTGCCCAATAACATTTTTGAAGATTTGCATCAAACAGGAGACATTTAGCTTTTTCAATTAAGCTTCGGTTCATTCTTTCGGCAATTCCATTCTGCTGAGGAGTATATGCATTACTTAATTGATGCTTGATACCATTCTCTTTACAGTATTTGTCGAATTCAGTTGAACAATATTCACCACCATTGTCCGTCCGTATTGTTTTGATTTTAGATCCAGTTTGGCGTTCAATGTATGTTTTGAAATTTTTAAAGTTATTGAAAACTTCTGATTTTGACTTGAGAAAGTAAACGAATAATTTTCGGGAGAAATCATCTATGAATGTTAATACATATTTGGCGTGTCCTATAGATTGCGTTTCCATAGGTCCACATAGATCAGAATGTATTAGTTCGAGTAGCTTTGTTGTTTTTGAGTTACTTTGTTTAAACGGAATTCTTGTTTGTTTGCCTTTGGGACATATCTGACAATTTTTTATTTCATGATCGTCGTCATTGAAATCAATACCAGAAACAGCGCCGTCACGCATTTTCTTTAAACTTTGAAAATTTATGTGTCCAAGTCGCCTGTGCCATAGCATTGCGTTGTTATTTGTTTGTTTTGATAACAAGCATTTTGCTTGGATTCCCTTCAGTTTGTAAACACCATTTTCCGCTTTGCACTGTACAATTACTTCTTTGTTTTTGTTAAGTATTGTACAGCCTGTTGCATCGAATTTTATTACATTCCCCTGACTCACTATTTTTGCAGCTGACAGAAGGTTTACTGATAAATCGGGCACGTGTAGAATTTCGTTAACTACAATTTCTTGCCCGTTGATATTCAGTGATGTTTTGCCAACGCAACTTACTGTCATAGCTGTTCCATTTGCTGACATTATTTTGTCAACGAGTGAATTTTTTTTGCTAGTGAGCAAATTATCGTTTGGTGTCATATGAGACGATGCACCACTGTCTAGATACCAGTCGTCGTTATTTCTTTTCGTTAATAACGCTGTGAATGCATTTTTTGCTGTGCCATTTTGTGCATTATTTTTCTTGTAGTGACATTCCCCTGCATGTTTCTTTCCACAAGTTGTGCATTTTTTCTTTTGTAAGATTTTTGCTTATTTTCGTACCTTTTTTTACTAAGAAATGCATCACTTTTTGTGGTTGTGTTGGTATCAGAGTCCAACAGTTTAGCGATTATTGTTTCTGATTTTATTTGTGAGTCTGATGCTTCAATTCCCATTATAAATGGTTTATATGCATCAGTTAAACCAGCCAATACTATCGCCGTCAGCCAATCCTCATTTATCTCAAAACCAATTTCATTTAATTTATTAGAATTATCTTTAATTCTATCAATGTATGATTGCATGTTCTCGCAGTCTTCTAATCTGCAAGAGATCAGGCCTCTTAATAACCCAATTTTTCTTGTTAAGCCTTTGTCCTCATACAGATTTTTTAGTTTCTGCCATATTTCTAGCGCTGTTTCACATCTGGATATGTGAACGTACAGCGATGGCGCTACGCTTAGAGCTAACAGGGCTTTGCAATTAGTTAATTTCTCAGCGTTTGTTTCTGTGACAGGATCGGTTATACACTTATGCAGACCTTTGAATGCTAATATATTTTTTATTGCGAAACACCAGTTGTGGAAATTTTCCTGGCCTTTGAGTTTCTCTACTTCAAAACCCTTTTCCATTTTAACTTATAATTTCACTTATAAATTTTATATATATGTATATGTATATTAATTCAAAGTCTTACTTGAAGCGTTATTTTATTTTTATTATTACAGCAGATTTTGCACTTTTGATTTTTATTTTATTTATTTAATTCCGACACCCGACACTACAGCAGTAACCTTGCTCTGCTACCATGTAGAGAGAGAATAAAGAACACGACGGTTTGAGGTTTATGAGTGGACTGACCGTTTAATGTATCAAGAATATGCTTATAAGTATTACAATTATGCGAAGCTGGTAAATAAAGTATAATAAGCTTATGAGTGCATTTTATATGCACATATACAAATACAAATACATATTTAAATACATAAGTATTTTCAACACACGAAAGCACAAGCAGCACAACAAACCGAACCTTGGGATTCCAAACTAAAAAAGGAACGTAATAAGTCTCTGAACTAAATCAGGAAAAGCCGCTACCAAAGAGTGGTCAACACGCAGGACAAAATGTCCAGAAGTTCGGCCCAGACGGCTCGTATGAGTTAAAGTCGGCTCAATATTACAATCAGGTGATTGAGGAATATGAGAGCTCCTTGAAAAATACGCAATCGGAAAGGCCCAATCCACCTAACCAGACAAATCAGAAGGATGAATATGAAAATAGAAATCGTTCCACAAAGCACAAGTATTCAAGATTCATCTGACCCCAACCCACTGCAAAGAAATTTTAGTGACGTTGTGAAAGACTGTCTGTTGATGGCTATAGTCAAAAAAAGCTCCAAGGCGCCGATATCTAATCAGCACCACTCTGCAGAGGTCCTCGATAATCCGGCGGGTCCCCATCCAGAGTTTGATTCCTCGTGGGTACAAGCTTATCAGATTTGCAGACCAGGCTTATTTGGAGTTCATAGCTGGTAGCATGTCTAAAATAAGCGAAGCAATCGTCGGTCTTAAACCATGGCTGATTCCAGCCAAGAACGCCCCTCGCAGGCCACGCACTCGTATCTCTTTGCCCACTCTGGAGGAACCAGGCGAGATGCTGCTGAGGTACCTAAAGCTCTAGAACAAACAAATACCGTGTATAGCAGTGGGGCAACTTATAAAAGCTGAACAACTAAAAACAACCAGACGACCTCATCTCTTGGCCTTTACGGCACAATCTATTGAGGGTCTGTCAAAGGCAACGGCATGGCCAAGATGAAAATCCTTCAAAATGACAAAGCTCTTGATAGACGACACTGAGAAGGTCGACGATGCGGGTCACTTGCTGAAGGATGTCAACATCGCCGACGCAGACCCCGACGCAGATGAGATATGTACAGTCCAATCTGTAGCACTCAATATGTGCAACAGATAATTGGTCAATCCTTCTCGGAAGGGGGTGCACCGACGTCAGCCTAATCCAGGAACCGTGGGTCCACCTCTTTTATAGTGGTAACACAGGTAAGCCGACAGCGTGCATTCTAATCAAGAAAAGCATCAGTGCAAAGAGAGTACTCCAGAACATCCTCCTGGCATCTGCCTGCCTGGCTCATGATTGGGACGCTCCATCCTGCGAACTGGAACAATTCATCGCCTAAAATCAGAGGGAAACACCATCTGGGGTAGTTCCACAATAAACAACAGAGGTGAGTCTCTCTTAAACTTTATATTTAATACTGACCTCTGTACACGCAATAAAAGAGTGAGTCTGACCTTTATGTTCCCAGCTTCGAAAGGTTTTCGGGATGTTAAGAGCTACTGGACTTAACCCTAACAACGGATGGTGTCGCCGACGATGGCTGGAGAGTATCCAGTGAAACATCCATGTCGGATCATTGCTGAATACCCTTCCGCATTCTCGCGAAAAACCCACTACCTCTACCCATTTCAGGATGCGAGAAGAACTGTATAGCCCAATTTAATCAGGCCGACAGTAAATCAGTAAGAGATTATATTTGCTGTAGATCTAGACAACACAGTGTGTCAGCTGGAAAAACTCTAGTCATGGCCTTTAAAAAAACCACACCAATTAGCGTCGTTAAGAATAAATCCCCTAGATGGTGGACGGGGCAGCTTAGGGCGGACAGGTCGAATCTCATGAAAATATTCATTGAGTGGTACAGAATAAAACTGTGGCAGGCATACAAAGATATATTAAAGCAGTACAAAAATTTGGTAATGAGAGCTAAAACTGACTCTTTGCCGTCATTTTGCACATCCATAAAGAAGTTTAGGGATTCCGCCAAGAGGGGGTTGTGCATGGAAAAAGACAGCAGAGGAATCACTAGAAACTCTCATCAATACACACTTTTCAGGCTATACTCAGAGGTCAAAAATATGATCTCCAACAAACCGTCAGCAACTTTACAAAAAGTCACTCGTCTCAATCGTAGACAAGCAAAAAATTAAATTCGCTTTATGTATGTAACTACAACTGCCCATACAAGTCCGCTGTCCCAGACGGTATTATACCGATAATGCTGCAGAAATTAAAGGAGCTCATGGTATCCTGGCTGGAAAGTTCCTACAAAGCAGCATCAGCTTGACATACAATGGGAAAAGCTATAAAACAGCCAAAGTTGTCTTCATTCCCAAACCGGAAAAAAACACGAAAAAGCTAAAAACTTCAGACCAATAAGTCTTACATCTTTCCTGCTAAAGGTATTGGAAAGACTGTTAGACTTACATATACGGGATTTTCCGGGAAACTCCAAACTTTCCAAAGCTCAACATGTGTACACATTAGGGGCAGGGCCTGTCGGCAGGGCGGTTTGAGATATTGAGTGAGTAAAACCCGATGGTCTGATCGGCGACTTGTATGTTTGCCAATTTGGGCCTATACCAGCTTATTATGGCAAATGCAGATAGGTTCCTCGATCCTTGATCCTTTTACTGGGTTCTTTTTCACCAATGCTTTTATTGTCTACCCAAGGGTGCCGAATCGGAGATTATATCCAACATAGCATCGTCTACACAAACAGGGCCACTGGAACGTTGTTAGAGGTTTATAGAGACTATTTTTACTCTAATTCTACTCTGCTTTTCAACTGCCTGCTCTTCCCAAAATACCAAAAAAAAATCAATTTTACACAGTCAAATAACTTCAAAGCCGACTCGATTATGACTAAGACTATGATTATGACTATGGACGAATAAATTTAACTGGTAACCGTGAGTGCCCCAATTGTCTACCAATCTAACTACAACGGATGCAGCAACGGAAATCTTAATGAAAATATTTATTTTAAATGGAAATAAATAAATCATATTCGAGTATCAGTCATAAAATGTCACAGTTCATTTGGAATCAGCAGCAGTTGTCGCCAGCCCACACGCCTTTTCATAAAAACCCAGCGCCAATGGCATACGAACATATGTACGTATACGAGTAGCAGTGATTGCTATGAGTCTGCATATGTATGTACATTAAGGGTGTTCTTGTTTGTATGGGAAAATTTAAAAATGCGGACCGGATTTTTTTCCCTTTTTTTTGAAAAACTTATAGTCAAAATTGTAAGTCAATCGGTTAGCATTGGGTAGATGCGAAAATTGTTTGAAGTCATCAAAACCCATGAATCTCTTTATAAAAAAATACAGCAGTTTCTTATAGCAGCATAATTTTTGTGTTGGAGACACTTCGCTTTAGTACTTTTTTGTGAACCTACTCTTCGGGCCGACGAAGCAGAAATCGTCCGCATGCATAAACTCGAATAAATGGTAAGCAAAAGGTACTTAAACGCCGCTATTTTTTAGGTTAGGAAGAAGTAAAGTGATTAGGATGTGGGATAAATAGAAAAAAAGTGATTTATTGATTAATAAGTTTAATAAGGCAGTATTTGTAATACTCAAAATCAAGAGGGATCGAAACTTTTAATCGAACGAATCACTTACTATTAGTTATACATAGGTGTGCTTAAAGTAAAGTTATTTAAAATAGAAAGCAATACTAATATTCTAAAGTGATGATTATTTTCCTCGCTAAAAGAAGAAAAATATTGCCTATTTTACATACATCTCACAGGTTTCTTATGGTTTATTAAAAAACATTATTTTCGTACTTGATACTTTCGTAGATAAGTATCTATTACCAGCTTGACTATTTTTCACACGATTTTAAAAATCAAATATGAGAAAACGATTTATAGACCTTTAAAATATGTATAACAATCTATTGGTAGACTTCGATTGTTGGGAGTTTTTGTCGCATAAAATTGAAAAAACAACAAATTTTCTTTATTTTTTTTTAACTTAAACCATCGCTTCAAACATTATAAGACAACTTACCTGTCAACTTTTGTTACCTTTATATAAACTAAGAGCTCACTGCTTGGGAAAAAGTTCTAGTCAAAATAGTAAGCTTGTCTGACCCATCGACCTGGGTAATGACTTTCGACTATGAAGGTTGGACCCACTGCCGGAATTTATTTGTTGTAAATTATACTGTCGAACGAGGTGTAAAATTTAACTAAGATTTTAATAAAACATTGACAAACGATGAAGAAGAAAAGCCATTGCTGCTACAGGTTGTTGATGCCTATCGAAAGAGATGCTTACAATAAATCAGATTTGGTCTAAAAAATCTAACTAATTTGTTAACGTAATCTTGGAGAAGTAAAATAAATACATAGTTTATACTTATAAAAAGCGTTATTCTATCCAACATTATGTATTTAATAAATTTTATGAAATGCTGTAAATACAATTATATTGCTATATCGATATCAATAATAAAATAACTTAATTTCCGAAGCAAAACACATATTTCCTTTTTATGTCATTTTCGCTTCTATCTTTCGGACGCAAAGAAACAAATATCCGGGCGGCGGCCGTTGAAATTTTGATTTGTAAAAATATGAGCACCCTTAATGTACATATTAAGGTACAGTATCGGACATATCATTTGCACCGGAATTCAAAACGATATTGATAATTTTCATCTTAAACATACAGTGACGAGCAAAACTGTAACATGGTTTAACACTTTTTGTTTCAGCCACCGCTATATTTCCAAGTTATAACGACTTTCATCCTTTTGTTGAATATTCTTGTTGGTACATCCCTACTCCCTCTCTCATAATGATTTGAAGTCAATACAACAACAATAAAAAAACCAGCAGACCAAAATGTAAATTAAGGCAGGTTTACAGTTTTGCACTCACTCTCAGTTTTGCATTTGACAGTTATCTTTTACTTAGTTGGAAGTCAGATGACTTTTTTCTATATTGTAATTTATTGAAGAAGTGATCACCAGTAAATAACATAGTTAATCAGAAACCATAAATGTAAATAATAGATTTACTGCGGAAAGGCGGAACCGCACGAAAAGTGGCAAAAATTTTGGAATTTGCTACTTAAAAATGTTAAGACTTAGAAAAAATATAGCCTAAAGTGCTCCCAAG